CAGGGTGAAAATAAATGTTTTACCATCACTAGAAGGTTATAAATTAAAAACAGATGGCCTCATCAAGGGAAAAACTGCCACTTCCTCTCCAGCTCCACGACTGCCTTTTTTCAAACGCTTTCATTTTAGTCTAATAATCTTTATTGGGCAAGATCTTCCATAGCTTTGTAAGGAAGCGAATATCTAACCCTCAGTCTCGAAGGTAAAGTTAAGTGGCATTTACTGAGTATGACTATGAGCCAGACACCATGCACACGCTCACCTTGTTTGATTCTCTAGAAGCTTTGAAACTGGTGTATTTTACACCACTTTATAAGAAAATCGAGAGGAAGTCATTTATCCAGAGTCCTGCAAAGAATAAGTGGCAACACGGTGGCTGATTTCAAAGTCCAAAGCCAATGAAAATTGTAGGGAAAGAAAGTTTGTGGTTTTAAAAATAGATGTGAAATTGGAAATGGACAAATCTCAGAGCCCTGTTAGAGGTCATTCGTGAGAGGGCATGATGAAAAGAAAAGAAGCCCTTCATTAAGACATAAGAAATATCAAGGACTATTTGCACATTCCATTTCCAGCCCAAATCCACACCCAGGCTCCATGCACTGTGAGCTTGCTTGCTTGCTTTTCTTTTCCATTTTTTTTTCCCCACTGTGCAATTTCCAATCACACCTGGGAGCATTCTGGGACCCAGACTTACAAAGTAAGGGAATCCTAAGTCCCCACTATAACTCCTCAATTCTCCCATTATTCTGGTGTTTTTTAAAGCAACCGATTTGGAAGAAGACTGTACATAGGTCTGAACTGGTTAAACTGATTTCTGAAAGTGCTTAACAGAGTGAGGGCCTGGATTGTACTGACAAAGGTTTTTATTCTTGAACCATGACCCATATGAGATACGCACGGGGTAGGGTGTGTCCTGTCAGGTGACCCCATCTATTTTCAGCCACATATAAGAAGCAGAGTGACACCAACCTCCTGGGGGAAACCAGAACACATGAGGGAATTTTTGTGTCCAAGAAAATACTTCTAAGTCCAAGATGTTCCTGCCCAACCTCCTCTGGGACTTTAATCAATGATTGGGAGAAGAATTCGGAAAAGAGGCTTTTTGAGAGAACTTTTTACACCCACTCTCCTACTTCTTTTCGCAGACCCTTCAGCTCTCTCTCACACTGTGTGCCCTGAGGTGAGGAGCAGGGCTGCTCGGACCAGGCATGTGGCAGGAGACCTTCCCCAGACCCGTCTTTTGTCTCAACCCATGAGCGATTCAGAAGAATCACTGCGGTTCAGGCAGGCTGCCTCGCTCAGGGTCTCACAGCAGCTCACTGATGGTTTTGCCCTGAAAGTCCCGCATCAGGATCCCAAAGCAGAGTGGCCTCTATGCCTCGTCACTCTCAGCGGTGACTATTTTCAAGGTGCCAGTTGTCTTCCTGCTGGGTCATTCCCTCTGACAAAGGTTTGAGGAGTTTGGCAAGATTTTCACAATTTATGCTGTTCCAGCCCAAAGGGGTCTGTGTGTGTGTGTGTGTGTGTGTGTGTGTGTGTGTGTGTGTGTTGGAGCAGGGGCAGAGTTATTGCAAGGGATTAAAAAGCCCAAATCACAGCACACAGACTCTTTAGACAGAAGAAAACAACTTATCTCATTCATACATACATTGAGAGATAGATGATAAGGAGAGAAGTGACCTTTATTCCTGTCCCCCGCCCCCCACCCCCGCCTGTATTATAGGGAAGTTTTCTTCCCATTTTTCCCTATGAGAGCACAAGCTAGGAGAAACTAATGAACTGCCAAGTTCTCAGGCTGAAAAGTGACAAAGCCATGATTTGAGTGTTTGCTTCCTCTTCTTCATGGTTTCTTTAGAACTATTTCTCATCTGCTCGATCTACACATAAAAATATTACAGTATTCGAGGGTCCCCGACTGGCTCGGTTGGCAGAACATGTGCCTCTTAATCTCAGGGTCCTGAGTTCAAGTCGTGTTCGGCATAGAGCTTACTTAAAATTTAAAAGATAATAAAACAAAATAACTTACAGTATTCATTAGTGAGTGCCATGACCAAGTATGGAATCAGTTGTACATGTGAGATAGTGGAGTAAGTATAGACTCAACATTGTAAAACTTTGAAAATTTCTTTTTAAAGGTTTTGGTTGGAATTCTGAATCCTTCAGTAATTGCAAATTGCAGCACCAAGGGATTTCTATCTCTCTTCTTTCCTCCCCATTTCTTACCTGCATCCCTCCCCAGCCCCCACAGTCCCTGAAATGAGGGGTAACTTGGGCAGTGTTTAATTAATATTTGTAAAGAGACAACACAGGCATTTTCCCTAAGCACAGGAGAGACACGTACACAGAGCTAAATAAATTCACCAAAAAAAAAGGAAGACTTGCTTTGGCGGAGACTGATAAAGCTCTATTGCTATAGTGTGTTGACTATGCAAAATCTTGAATTACTGAGATGTTTTAGCTGGTTTTCTCTTAAATTGTTTGTGTAAATGTAAATTACACAATTAGACACATGTTTTCTTGATTAATGTTGGAAGGAGAGCTGATAAAAAAAAATCTCAAATAAAACTATCAGCATAGGAGAGGGCGCCTAGCTGGCTCAGCCCAGGGACCATGCCATTTGAGCCCCACGTTGAGTGTACAGATTACTTAAGTAGATAAACTTAAAAAAAAAAACCTACCAACATAAGAAAGTTTATCAAAGCATGTCATGTTATCCCTCGAAGCATAACCCATTTTTACCTGAGGACACATTCAAATGATACAAGGACATAGCTTCAGAAGAAGTTTATAAAAATTGAGAATGAACAACGTATAGGTGTTAGCTTTCTCGAAATTTGAGGCACTTTTTATTTTTTTAAGGTATTTGTTTGTTTGTTTTTGAGAGATAGAGAATCAGCGTGCGAGCAGGGGAGGGACAGAGAGAGAGTGAGAGAGAATCCCAAGCAGTCACTACAGCATTAATACAGAGCACAATATGGGGCTCGAACTCTTGAACTGTGAGATCATGTCCTGAGCCGGAATCAAGAGTCAGAGGCTTAACTGACTAAGCCACTCAGGTGCCCCAGAGGCACTAATTTTTAAATGGTTTAGTATATTTAGGATTCAGAATGAAGTTTCTGTGGTTAGATCTTCTTCAGTTCCCTCAGTGATGGTCATAGCTTCTTAATTCTGGTATTACTGCATTTCTGAATTGTTTTCCCCCACAAAGTTCTATCATTTTGCCACAGTTTAAAGGTGAGGGGCTGTGCTCTGCTCCGGTGATTCGCTATTGCTTTAATCTAAGACACAAAGCCTGGGAAGCCTTCACCTCCACTTTCCGTGGCGAGAATGACAGTAATTTTGTTAATGTGAAGGATTGCGAACTGTTTGTGCAAAATGCAGTGAATTTTTTCTTATTCAGTTTGTAAACTAACTAGAAATAATTCAGAAGCAAAATTGTATTTTTATGTATCCGTTTTGCTAAAAGCACTTTGCCATTGCTAGGTGACTTTTCAAATTTACAAGTCATAATTTTCTCTTAAATATAAATGCAAGTCAGGGGCGCCTGGGTGGCTCAGTCAGTTAAGCATGCTCTCTTGGTTTCTGCTCAGGTCATGATCTCATGGTTCATGAGTTCGAGCCCCACATAGGATTCTGCACTGACAGCATGGAGCCTGCTTGGGATTCTGTCTCTCCCTCTCTCTCTGTGTCCCTCCTCTGCTCTCTCTCTCAAAATAAAATACACTTTAAATATATTTTTAATAAAAAATAAATAAATAAATCCTTTTAAAAAAAATGCCTGGTAGCTTTTTGTTAGTCTCCATTTACAATTACAACGATGTGGACATCCTGGTCATTCTTTTACAAGAAGAGTTCTGAGGTGGGGAGGGGGGCACCTGGGTGGCTCAGTCAGTTAAGCATCTGACTTCTGCTCAGGTTATGATCTCCAAGTTCATGGGCTCGAGCCCCATGTCCGGCTCTGTGCTGACAGCTCAGGGCCTGGGGCCTGCTTCAGATTCTGTGTCTCCCTCTCTCTCTGCCCCTCCCCCGCTCATGCTCTGTCTCAGAAAATGAATAAAACATTTAAAAAAGTTAAAAAAGAGAAAGAGAGAGTTCTCAGGAAATAGTTCTGAAATCAGAAGATTGTGAATTGTGTCCAAGCTTTCCTGTGACTCCTTATATGAAAGAGCAGCAGGGGTGCTTTTAGCAAATCGAATCAACGCCAAGGGTTCGATTCTGGCGATGCAGAGACACTGGGACCGGAGTTACTCTTCCAGAGAAGAGTGGCAGATTGGCCCCACCCTCTATGGAGCCCATCAGTCTCCCCGCCCCCAAGCTCTCCTCCTGAGATGCTCCGGGGCAGCCCTGCATCCTGGGTCCCTGGCTGTCACCCTCTCACTTGGGCACCCTCCTCCTGAAGCTCCTCGCCTCTCCCTCCCCAGCTCAGGGAAGCCGTTTACCTCCCCAGCTTTCAGCACGAAGATGAGATCTAGCTCCAAGCTACAAACTAGGAGGATCTTCGGAGTTCTCACACCCAAACAGGAAGGCCACTCTGAGTTACACCTACTTCTGCACATGACTAGCTTCGGATGAAGCAATCCTTGCTGCCCAGGGTGGGGGCGGAGGAAGGGTGAAGTGTGAGGCCATCAAAAAGGAAACTGCCTGGCGGGGCCCCAAAGCAGCCAAGGAGGCCTCCCTCCCCCCCCCCTTCCCGGCCCTCCCCGGCTCTAATTAGATCACAAATCTCTGTAGGCTCCTTTAAATAAATCACTCTCCAGGCATTTCTCTAAGGCACTGAAGACGCACGCCTGGCATGAATATCTTCCTTCTCTCTTTAAATTGTAAGGCCCTTGACAGCAGATGTCATGCTGGATGTCCCTTGCTTTCCACTCCTGCCAAAGAGCTGGAACCCAGGGGGTGGGGGTGGTCAACATGTGCTTGCGACGGAAATCGGTGAAACAATTTTGGTTTCATAATGAACACTCTGGCAGCTTCCACGACCAAAGTAAACACACAGCAAAGACTGGTGATAATCTTTAATAGTTTACAGCTACAGTATCAACTTTTATACGTATAAATACAATCACAGACCATAAATACCCATCGGCAAACTATCTGTCTCTAGACAGACCAAAAAACATCTTCGCAACTAAATAAAACTAACAGCCTTAAGTAATACTGAAGAAAAACAGATACTGAGGTAATCTTTCATCTAAAGTGACTATAGCCTATATTAAAACATTCTTACTGTTCAAGTAGTTATGAAAACCTTGTCTCATAACCTAAGAATGTAACTTTAACTAATATGTTTTGAAACTGAACAAAAAATATTTTAATTATAAATAGGTAAAATAAATAAGATTCATTTATTGAAATTCAATCATGATATTATTATTTCTCTTCTATATATCTGGCGGCTTTGCTGGTAGCCTGGCTTCTTAATAAAAAATGGAAATTCATGAAACTTTTCTCAGCATCTACATATTATTATAATGCAAATTACATAGAGATGAAACTTTCATTCCGGATGAGCAATCCATTCTCTTTTTTTTAAGAAAAATATATCCTATGTAAAACATGCTTAATTTCTTTAAAGGATCACTTCTTGTAAGATGTACGCTAATATGAGAAACGGCATTTTACAGATTTTCTAAACTTCTTTAGAAATACATTCCTTTTCCTATCAAGTAACTGTAGAATATTTGTTTTACTAAGTCTTAATTACAGTAGTAAAAAGCCTAAATCCCTTCCCCCCCCCCCCCCATTATTTCTCAGTACGCAAATTCGCATGTTCTTTATGTGGTAACAATTCTACCCGCAAAAATCTCACTGGCACCATGTAACAGCTCTAGCACATTTTTTCAAAGTACAGACTTTCCAGTGAAGATTCAGAACATAATTCAAGGCAGGATCATCTGAACAGAAGGAATACATTTTGAGTCGGAAGGAAAACACTTTCAAATTATTTTATATTTTGTAGTGACCTATGGAATCAACATTCGCGAGGACATTCAGTGTTTTCAGAACGAAATCTCTACTTTGAACAAGGTAATCTAGAAGCCGAATACTGTACAGCACTTTTGTGTCATCCCAAAGTGATAATCAACACTGAACATTCTCCCTTCTCGCATCTGCCCACAGTTCTTCATTTGCCCACACCTCTGGGTAGCAACCTTCCGCAAAACTACCAGAATAACTTTCGAAGTAAAATCTCAGTGTATAAGCAATCCATTCCTTATTTTCTGGAGCTCCTCCATTCATTCTTGATTTAAAAATAAACAAAGTGGTTTTATAATGTTCTCACAAGCCCCAGAAAAAGGACTTCTGAGACATCTCTGACAGAAATCCGTCTCTGATGTACTCCCATCTTGGTTTCCAAGGGCATCCAGAAGCAATTGATTCTCCGCATTCTCCTCCATTACAAGGCAGTCTCTCTTCTAACTGATGAAATTTGCATCTACTGGGGAAGCTTCCATTTCAAAGGCATCTCCTCGTTTGAAAGCTCCCAGTGCAGTCAGGTTCCCGAGCGGAAGAGTTTGGCTATCAGATTCATAAGTTTCTGCCGGAAATTCAGTTTGTCTCCAAATCTCCGGAGCTGCATGGCACATTCCACTTCGGGCTCTGAAAAGGAAGGCAAACCATCAAAATTATGCTGACATGACAAACTGTAACTGACAAGAGTCAATATGCCCATCCAGGAGGCGAGCTGAGTATGTACCCAGTGAACCATTAATCTTAACCTTAGCTCTATGCACACCCGTTTTTCTGAACATGAGACAGTTACCTAATTAGAACACACACAACATACGTTGACATGGCGTGACTCATAAACAAAAAGACAACAGTTACAGTAAGGATGAAGACTTTTACTTTGAAATCTTTTTTCTTAAATGCACACCGGATGAGGCAAATGTCGTCTTTCTTTAAATATGGACATTTATGTCATTATGTCATTCAACACAGTTACGGAGACTTTGTCAGCTTCAGATGATGTCATTCTTTTCTCTCTTCATTTAAGGTTGGTTGGAGGGGGGACTGAAGTCGAATTCTAAACTTTGTTCTGTTGTTTTCAAGGATTTCTTTTTTAAATGGCAGTAATTCACAGCTCACATTATGCCTGCATTCATAGGCAAATCCAAATGTATCCTTATCCTCATTAAAAAAAAAACCTCTTTGAAATCTTCTAGAAGTTTCATAAAATCTTGTATCCACGTTAAGCCCACATTCTCTAAAATAAAGTAAATGTATATTTTACTGTAAACCAAATTCTTCCTACAAACCAAATTTTTTCATCCAAATTTTTATACTTTTTTTCTTTGAGGGCCAATAATCTTTTATTTTTTTTTAAGTATAATTGTCAAATTGGCTAACATACAGTATGTGAAGGGTGCTCTTGACAAACCAAATTTGTACCAATCCGTTGCCTTTATGAGTGAAGCAGAAAATATAATGTTTAATTCACATGTGTACTACTTTTTAGACATGAGATATAATTAAACGAATATTAATTTAAGAAAAAGGATTACAAGAGGGTTTTACAAAAAAAAAAAAACGATCCCTTCCACCAAAAAAGGGAGCAGAAAATAGCTGCTAATTGTTTCCTAAATCTTTTTGTTAATTACACTTCTGTAAATGTGGTATTAAAAAAGAATTGTAACTAGGGATGGTGACAGATCTTCACTAAACCTATCATGGCAATCTTTTCACAATGTATACATACATCAAATCATCATTTGATATACACATATACCAAATCAAAGCTAATACAATGTCATGTGTCACTTATATCTCAATCAAAAAAGTATTACCATCTAATTAAGTTTAAGAGGGCCCTTATTACTGGGAACGAAATTAAATGGCAGGAAGGTTATTCTCAGGTGGGGCCTTCCCAAAACAGAATTCTTGGACTTCACAGAGGGTAGGCCAAGCTTGTCGCCTCCCAAGCGAGAGCCAGAGAGAGCAGCAAGGTGCCAAGCGGCATTGTCAATCACCACTTCCTGAGCAGCCTCATGGGCTCTATAAAGCGAAACCAACTTTAAAAGGGGGCCATTATCGTCTGATGCAATAGCAGTAGGACGGATATCGAGCCCAGAGCCTTACTGCCTTCTTGCCACAGCCCCTTAGCAGATGGCTGCCTTGTTTGGTAAGACTTATGGGGTGGGGGTGGGGGTGGGGGTCTGCAAAGTTGCCCGATGGGGCTATATGTGGGAGGAGGGGAAAGTGGATAGACTAACCACCACTGCAGACCAACGCCTGTCCTTCTATCCCACCCCCGCAACTGATAACGACTGTTAAAATGTTGCATTCTTAACAAAGAAGCAAAACTTTCTAGGCCGCTGACCGCAGCGGACCTCCCAGGGCCTCTGTGACGCTCCATCAGTCCTTTGTGGAACAGCGTGATGGTATCAAGCGTTCGGTACTGTTTGGTGTTGGGGGCGCGACAGTGGCCGCACTCGGAGCGGGGCCCTCGAGGGTCCTCGCCGCGGGAGGAAGAGGGAGGTCTCAGCGGGCGCTGGAGGCCAGGCAGCTCCCCGCGGCTCTCCCGCCCCCACCTGCCGTGACAATGACTTTCTCCTCGGGACGGTCGCCCGCACTTGCACTTTTCCTCCCCGGGGCCCCAGGGCAGGGTAACCGGGGCTGCGAAGCCAGCGCCTCGAAGGAGAACAGGCTTTCCTGCCCCCGCCAACATCGCCATCCGCATCCCCGGTCGGCTCTCCTCCCGCGTCCTGGGTGAAAGCCGCGAGCAGCTTCCTGGAGGCGCCCCGGACCTGCCCGACCTTAGGCGGCGTGCCGACCGGCTGAGCCCCGCGCGGACCGAGACCCCGACCCCGGCCCCCGCCCCGGCCGGGTTCTCGGCGGGCCCCAGCTGCTCCCTACCTGCCGGGGCCCGCGCGGGGCTCGGCTGCGCGCTCTTGCGCGCCTTCTTCCCAGGCATCTCCGCGAGCGGCCGCCGGCAGCCGTGCTGTGGAAGGCCGGGGGTCTCGGCCCCCCGACCCCGAGCACCTTGGGGCGGCGGCTCGCGAGCTGCACGCGCGGGCGGACGGGCCGGACCGGGAGGCGGCACCCAATTCCACGACCGATTGCACGCGCGCCCGAGCACCTCTCAGGTCTGGGCGCCCGCTGGCTCCCGCGCTCTGCTCTTATGGGGACTTCCCGGGGACCGTGACGTAGCGAAACTTGACTCCGCGCCCGCCCCGTCCCCGCCCCCCCACCCCCTCCCCCTTCCCCGCCCCCCTCCCCCCTCCCTCCTGCCCCCGCCCGGGGGCCGCAGCTTTGGAGGACTTGCCTGGACTCGCTCGCGGTGCGCGGCGGCGCCGGTCCGCGGCGGGGGGCTCAGCGCGCTCGGCGCGGAGACCCTGCCCCGCCTCGGATGCACTCCCTTCGCGAACGGGGACTAGGGTCGGGGGTCGGGGCCGAGAGTCTGCGTCGAGGCCGCCGCGGTCGTGGCGGAGTCCGGGAGTCGCGAGACGGGGGAGCGCTCGTGGCGGGAAGGCCGGGGGCGGGGAGGCCGGGGGCGGGGAGGCCGGGCGCCGCGACCTTCCCGTAAACCCGCAGTGAGAGACTGCGCCAGCCCGGGAAAGAGTGCGGAGCGGGAAAGCTCGAGCCCGGAGGGTGTGGGTAGTTGCGGGGCGGCGAAACGAAGACAACGTTCCGACCAGTAGAGACGATGCCAGAGGCATGTGAGCCAAGTACCTGCTTGAAACCCCGGGGCAAGCAAGCGAACGCAGTTTTGGTTTGGAAAAAGTGGCGCTGGTGTGTGTAGATGCGGGCGAGAAAGCGCTAATTCTCGGCCCGGTTCCGGTCTATGTGGAGCATATTCCCTCCGGAGAGGTCGGTATTAACTCCACCTGGATGCTGCGTAGTGACGCAGAAAGAGTGGACCGTAGAGCAAACCTTCAAGCGCTCTTGGGGATGGAGGAACAGGCACCTGGGAATACGAAGTCATGTGCACGATGTTCGGGCCTTGAACAACTGCATGACCATAAAGAGAAGTTGCAGTTTGGGCTGGAGAGCGGGTATTGGGGGCCAATTCGTGATAAGGGCTTCGGCACGCGATTTCTCATTCTGTCCACGGAACAGCCCCACAAAGCTGTCACTCTTACCGTAAGAGCCACTTGACACGTGCGAAAACACTGGCCAAGAGTCGTGCCGGGGTCTGAACTTAGTCAGGGCCCTACGGGGCAGTTCTTACCACGGTGGCCTTCCGAGTAATCACGGGGGGGGTTTGTTTTTGGTTTGTGTGTGTGTGTGTTTCCTTTTCCTTTTTCTTTCTTTAATGAATGGTCTTAATTATCTGCGATGTTCAGCGGAGAGGTTGCAAATTGGCTACTTAGGGCTGCCTGGCTCCCAGGAGTGTTTGGTTTGGCTCAGGGTTTCATTTGCAAAAATGTCTTCTGAAGATTTGAACCGGTTACCACCCTTTAAAACTTGAGAGATGACGTGAAAAGCCCCGATCTCCGGCGTCCTTTGTAAAACGTGAAGCGCTGACAACCCGGGCTCCGTTTCCGATCCGAGCAGAGCTGGCTAGACGCGTGGCGGCCTCTCCCCCTGGGAGCTGGGGAGGGAGCTCCCCCCGCCCCCCCCCCCCACGGGTGCTTCTCCCATTAACACGATGTGGCCCCAGTCGGCGTCTGAGCCTGTTTACTTACCTGAGATCACCCAATCAACACAAAACTGCGAGTATTTATTTATTCATGGCTTGGTCCTACAGACGTATAGACAACGCTACCATCGCGGAGCAAAACTACTCCTGAGTTTAAACAACGCCGTTGTGAGTGTGGTAAACACAGTAGGTTCATAGTGGGCAGAACTGAGGAGTTATCACCCGACCCAGGACGCTGCGCAGAGATGCTGCCTCCAAGTCTTTTTTCACAGCCCAAAGCCACGGGGACTCTCCCAGGGCTCACTTCGACTGACTTAGTACTTAAGGACCACCATCAACATTCTGATGGGATAAATTAGGAAACTTCTGACCAAATCGTGCACCCAGAAACGCAGCGAATACATTCAACAAAAGAAAAGCAAATCCTACGGTTGTTTACCTGTTTACCAATACGGAGTGTGCCAATCTCCCCCTCGAACATTATCATTATAAAAGGTTGTTGGCCACCTGACCCCTACGAGGCACAAACCTTAGGCAAGTGGTGCCTTTTAGCGAATTGCAAATTCAACTTGCTAGAAGGGGAGGCGGGGAGAGAAGTAAGAGGAGATAGGCCTCAGAGGCCGGTCAAATCAGCAATTTATGGAGGATTTTTAAGATTTTGGATTTGAGGGAGTGTGGATGGCTCAGGTGGTTAAATGTCTGACTTCGGCTCAGGTCATAATCTCACGGTTAATGGGTTCAAGTCTGTCAACATAGAGCCCACTTCAGAGCCTCTGTCTACCTTTCTCTCTGCCCCTTCCCTGCTCACGCTGTATCTCTCTCTCTCTCAAAAATAAATAAATGTTTTAAAAAGAGATTTTGAATTTGAGTTGGCTCATAAACTGTCAGCTTTCACATTCTATTAAGGGAATTAGAAGCTGAGTGTGGAAAGGCTCTCTTACCTGCACATTTCTCTGGAAAAGTGATGTATCATTTACTGAGAGCTTGCAAGAAATAGAACCGTATCAGGATATTTTGACCACTGGGGCTGACATCACAAAGATTTATCATGAAGCACTAGAATACCTTGTTACTGTTGAATGAAAGAAAAAGAGGAGAAGGGAGGGGAAGGGGAAGAGAGGGGAGGAGAGAGAAGGGGGAGAGGAGGAAAAAAAATAACTGTGAGGACAATTTTTAAAGCTGTTACCAGGTATCAGTTTTCATGGACCAAGTTTAAAAATAACAGTGCAACAACTTGACAATAAACTAAAAAGTAGTAACAGTGCAAATCTGGCTATGCCTGTGTTGTCATTAGAGTGTTTTTAAAAATTGCTTTTAAAAAAATCCCCAAAGAGAACAGAAAACATGATTAGTAATAGAATAGTCATTCGCATGTTTCATACAGTAAACAGGATCTGATGGGAAAACAAAGAATATGACAAATGTGTAAGGGGGGGGCATTTAAAGAGCACAGTGACAAAATACGTATAGGCTAGGGACCTTAGTCTCTGTATTCCGATGAAAGGAGACTTGCTTTTTTTCTGGTTTTGTTTTTCTTTTTGTTTTTTCCTGAAAGGCATGCCTGTTAACAGGAAATGAGTCTGATGCGTTCTTCATCAATTACATTTCTCTTTAAGCCGCCACTGTGTGGGGTTCTGGGAGACAGTGTTCCCTACCTGCATGAAGGTTATGTTGAAGAGACCAATATCTCACAAATCCAGTGTGCATGAGAACCACCCAAGTATCCTGTTAAAATGCACACCTGATGGTGAAGATCTAGCTGGGCTGGGGATTCTGCATCTTAAACCCTGGTGATGCCCAAGTGTCCGTCCCACGGACCTCACTTTTAAGTAGCAAGGCTAGAGGGTGACACAGTTGGATGCAATAAGATGTGCATCAGGGCTGTCCCACGGAAATTACGGAGGGATGGCCAGGGAGGGCAACGGAGCAGGAAAGGACATCTATGTAGAAAGAGACTGAAGCACAAATGGGATTGGCTAAGCAATGAGACCAAAGAAAAGAAGTATGTTCTGAGCAAAGACTGAAGAGCAGTGTGAGGAGGAACAGGTGAGAGGTGAGTGGGGAGGGAAGCCACCTCAGGAAGTTTGTGTATTATGTGGGGGGCCATGAGGGAACCACTGAAGGTTTTAAGCACGTGGGTGATAGATCACGTTCTAGATAGTTCACTCTGGCTGCAATGTTACTAGATTAGCTAAGCTACGAGTGGAAATGGTGTGACTCATGAAGATATATACTGTGGCCATTCTCATCCAAGATGGTAGCTTCAGCAAGGGCAATGACAGTATCAACCCCTGCCTTATTAAAATTCCCACATTTCCATGGGGTGCCTGGGTGGCTCGGTCAGCTGAGTGTCTGACTCTTGATTTCGGCTCAGATCATGATCCCAGGATCATGGGACCGAGCCCTGTTTTAGGCTCTGTGCTGAGCATGGAGCCTGCATATGATTCTCTCTCTCTCCCTCCGTCTGCTGTTTTCCCCCCACCAACCCCCCCACAAATAAAAAAATTTTTTTTTTGATTCCCACATTTCCTGACTAGGATTGGACCACATCCTATTAGAACAAGACTTGATATTTTTCAGCATAATTATAATTATCTCCTGTATTAGTATCCTAAGGTTGTCACAACCAAACACCACAAACTGAGTGGTTTAAAACGACAGGAGTGTGGACGCCTGGCCGGATCCATCAGGGGAGCATGCGACTCTTGATCTCAGGGTTGTAGGGTCGATTCCAATGTTGGGTATAGGGATTACTTAAAAAAGATAAAATTTGGGGGCACCTGGCTGGCTCAGTTGGTAGAGCAGGCGGCTCTTGATCTCAGAGTCATGAGTTCAAGAGCCACATTGGGCATAGAGCATAGAGATTACTTTAAAAAAGAAGAGAAAAGAAAAAAATCTTAAAACAGTAGTTTATTGCTGCACAGTACTGGAGTCTGACATCCAGATTTGGTATCGGCAGGGCCGTGCTCTCTCTAGGGTCTCAGTGGGAGGAAACCCCCCCCTTGCCCTTTCAGTTTCTGGTGGCTGCCTGCAGTGAAAGCCTTCTTCTGCTTGTGGCCACATCACTCCGATCTCTGCCTCGGTCTTCACGTGGCCTTCTTTCCAAATTTCTTCTAGACACACCAGTCATTGTTTGAGGTCCCTCCCTGACCCCGCGGGGTCTCATTTTAATGAGACTGCATCTGCAAAGACCCTATTTTCAAACAAGGTTACATTCATAGATAGAGTAGGAGATGGTGAAATGGAGGGTTAAGACTTCAGCACTTCTTTTTTTTTTTTAATTTTTTAAATGTTTTTGTTTATTTCTGAGAGAGAGAGAGACAACATGAGCAAGGGAGGGTCAGAAAGAGAGGGAGACACAGAATCTGAAACAGGCTCCAGGCTCTGAGCTAGCTGTCAGCACAGAGCCCGACGTGGGGCTCGAACCCACGAAATGTGAGATCATGACTGAGCCAAAGTCGGACGCTTAACCGGCTGAGCCACCCAGCCGCCCCTTCAGCATTTCTTTTTGAGAGACACGGTTCAAGCC